TTTTCAGGGTTACACCTTGGTGGTTCTCACACTACACATCTCACCAGGAGAAATTTAATAAAACAAGTATAAAATCCTGAATCTAAATGTTTTAATTAAGTACATCAGTTCAGAAAGAGGGAGACCAGACTTTGCCCGTGACAAAGCAGAGTGGCCACAGGACCTCGATCTGAATAACCTGTCCCGGAAGGAATAATAAAAACATCTTGAGAGAGTTCCTCTGAGAAGAGAAGGCTCGGGGAAGACATCTTAGTCAGCTTCTACCAGGTTAGGGCCGTTTTCCTGAAAGAGGAATTGACTTATTCTATGTCACTTCAAAGGGCAGAAGGATAGAAATGACAGGCAGACGTGTCTCTGCTCTTACAAGGGAGAGCCCTATAGCATGTAGGTTTCTCGAGGATGGAAAATATTGTTCATCACTGATGAAAGAGAGATTCAGAGAGCTAACATTTCACTCCAGGGGGTGGTTGGAAGGAGCAGGTCTCCCCCAGAAAGAGACTTCACAAGCCACCTGAGTCCTTCTCTCTTCCTGAGTCCATAGGAGACCTTTAAACCTTTACGAATACTGACAAGCAGGTAACTCTGGCCTGGAGAAGGGGCATGTGATTAGGCAGTGAGTGGATGAACATCTACCAGGGATGGTGCAGAAGTATTAGAAGCTCCAAGATCTTCTCCAACATTAAGATCATATAACTTTGTTTGCTTTCTGAAATGCTCCCCTGTGGTAAGAATTCTACATAGCACAGAGACAATCTAATGCCTTGATTTAAAACAGGTAGCCCGTGGAGGCAGTGAGGGCCTCCAAAACTTGGGAACCTAAAGCCAATGAATAATTTGGGGACCTCAATCCCACACAGCTGCCTTCAACATGGGCTGCAAACCTGTATGCCGATTAGACCCACCTGGGGAGCTTTTAAAGTATGAGACCAATATCTGGGGCCACCCCCACCCCTGAGTTTCTGATTTAATTGGTCTGGGATGGGACCAGAGCATTAATATTTCTAAAAGCTTCATGGATTATTCTAATATCTAACTAAAGTTGAGAACCTCTCATCTACATCATTCTAATTCATTGGGTGCCAAAACTACAAATTCTACAAGTCAAAGATGACATTTCTAATAAGTGAACGAGTTTAGCAAAATTGTTAAGGGTACAGTCTCTGGAGTTAGACTGCCTGGTTCTTCTGCTTACTGGCTGTTGATTCTGGGCAAGTTACTTAACCTCTCTGTTCCCCAGTTTTCTCATGTGCAAAAAGGGGATAATAATAGATACACACCTGGTAAGATTGTTGTGAGGACTAACTAATGTGTTGCTTACTAAGTAGCTCAGCACAGCCAGCTCCTGGCATGCCACGAGTGTGCACTGTCTATTGAATAGCTACCTCTGTTGTTCTTCTCATCATCTTGGAGGGTAGGATTATTTCGTTATTTCATTAGGCACAAACATCAGTTGCAGCATCCAGCTTAAATAACTTCTAAAATCGGGTCCCCTGAGTACGTATTGAGCATTTAAAGTAATTAGTAGTTTGACCTCAAAGCACCAATTCTCACATCATCCGTGCAAGAGAAAACACTGTTAATTCCCGTTTTCCTTGGGAACAATCCAGGTCCCTGAGGTCTGAAAGGAATCCTTGAAGTGAACAATAAATAAAATGCAGCCCTGTAGGACCTTTTTCTAGAGTGCACAGACTTGAGCCCCGCTTACCACGCTGTATATGTTTTACCCTCAGATCTCCTACCCCGTCCGAGTAACTGATGAGGAGGCGTCTACTCAGAATGCCAGAGAGATTGGGAATGCCGCCGTCGACCCTGAAGACAAATGGCATCAAAAGGCCCAACAGCTAAAGGTCACCTGCTAGACTGAATTTTAAGTGTGTCAGGGGTTACTGCTGAAGCTAAGTGATGTGTGTGCCTGACTGCTTATCACTTAAGGGTTCATTCTTATGCCTGAGAATAGCTTCCCAGCTCCTTCTAGCTAAGAGTGACTTCTGTCCACCCAGGACACGACTTCTCAGTCCACCAAGCCTACGCACTTTTCCAAGGTCCTCTTTCCTAGAGGAAAATCATCCTCTCACTCTGCAAACATTCAGAAGAATGGCATGGAGAAAATGCAGAGGCAAAAAAAAAAAAAATCACAGTTCCCAAATGCTGTCCAGCTCTGTGCTGCTCCCCAAGCCTGCTTCCTTTTGGAGCTGTCGTCAGTCACATGGTATCCGAGGTGATGGGGACATCAGCCACTGCCTGTTTCTTTTGTACCAACTACACTATAAGCAACTTGAACCTCAGCATTGGTTGTCTCTCTACACCTCCTAGCAAACGCTTTGCCCAGAGCTGATGCTCAGCATTTAATGGGTGATTAAGGCAGTATTTAAAGGTCATTGAGTGAATCTCCCAGTAAAAATGGGCCTCATTTCAAGAAATCTTTTTTGGGGAAAAAAAAATTTTTTTTGAAAGATTTAGATACTTTCACAGTATCTACATATTCCTTAGTAAACCTACTTTAACAATGAATAACTCTTACTAATAAGAGAATATCTTTATGTGAAATTAAAATAATTCATACAACAAATATTTATTGAGTACCTACTATATTACAGGTACCAGGTTTTAGGTGCCTGGCCCCAAAGACGTGTTTTAAAAAAAAAAAAAACTCTTGAGAAAAATAAATACAACTTGATGAAAGATCTTTTTTTAAAAAAAAATGGTTTGTACCGTTGGGGAGCTCAAAACTTTAGTGGTAGTGGGTAGTTATGTAATCATTATAATGCCATGATATGAAGGTAGGTGTAAAATACAGTGTAACTAAAAGATTCTAGCATCTAATTCTGCCCTTGAAAGACAGGAAAAGCCTCCTGAAGAGAGACAGCATTTGAGCCGACCCTAGAAAGATGAAGCAAAGTATGCCAAGCAGACAGATGGGAGCAAGAGAATATAGTATATCCTGAGTATTGCCTACAGTTCAGTAACTGAAGGGGGAAGTGTGAGGGAGGGGAGTGGTGAGACATGGGGCTGGGCAGGTTAGCTAGTGGCCGGGGAAAGGCTTTCTATATCCATCGAAAGATTTTAGATTTTATCCTACGGAGAGCAGGACGCCACTGGCAAATTTTAAGCAGGTTAATAACATCACGGGTCTTGCACGTTGGAAAATCCCCTCCAGCCCAGGTCTGAAGAATAGACTGGAAAGGAATAAGATGGCAGAGACAGCGAGGTCAGTCAGGTGACTTTGGCTGTCATTTCTGCAGGAGACGATGTGAGAACTGGAAGGGTGGCAGCATTCGTTCTGTGGGTCACACACTCCACGTACCATCAGCCCACTTTTCAGTACAGCAGATGTATCGTATGGATGAATCTCCTTGCAAGTCAGGACAGTACTGGCTCCCCCTCAGCCCTTGCCTTGAGATGGTCAGGAAGTGGAATTAACAAATTTAGCAATTGCTTCAATACAAGGTAAACATGGCAGAGAGAAACAGAGCAGTTTCTAAGTGTCTGATTAGCAGAACCAACACCACAGAGGAAGAAAAGGAGAGCTTTGGTGCTGGGAATGAAAGAGGAGAGGGCGGGAGGCCGAGGGTGGCCTGATGTTGAGTTTAGAGGTGCGTAGGAGCGTCGAAGAGGACCTAGAACTCAGGAGAGACATCTGAGTTAGCCCATGCATTTGCATCAGAAGAATTCCCTGGTGGGTCACAGCTGTGGGAATTGCTGATCTGGCCCAGGAGTCGTAGGTGGTGGGAGAAGAGAGGAGGGTCAAGACCAGGGTCCTGTAGAGGATGGTAAGAATGCTAAGGGTGAGCAGAAGTAGAGAAGAAAATGTAAGAGACTACGAAGGGATTGCTGGAGAGACAGAAAGCTGACCGGAATAAAACAGTGCCGTAAAACCTGAGACATGAAAATTTCAAGAAAGAGAAATCAATGAACAGAGTCAAACTCCGTACCGCACAGAATATAGTAAAAAGGTACCATGAGAATGGAATGATGCACACAAACTCACATATTCAAGTCTCAGATGATTCAGACAAATTCAGTAATAATGACAAACATTAAGTACATAAATGATATGTATTTCTGTGTTTGTCTACATATGGACAGAGAGATGCAAAAAGAGAGAGAATAATGAAATGTAGCAAAATATTAAAAAGTGGTGAATCAGTGAGGCTATTTGGGAGTTCTGTGTTGTTCTTGCCATTTTTCTGAAAGTTTGAAGTAATTATGTAGGTTTCAAAAAAGTGGGAAGTTAAAGAAAATGGTTACCACAGGATTTAGCAACTAAGAGGTCCCCGGTGGGCTGAGCCAAGCAGTTTCAGGGGCATCATGAGAGCACGTGCTCTCCTGCAGGGCAGAACAAGAGACGGGACATGAAGCCCAGCCTCCACGTAAAGACGCTTGGCTGTGGATGAGGAGATGAGATTTCATTAGAGAATGAGACCAAGGGAGGGACTGTGTCATTTTTGTAATAGAAGAGGCTGATACATGTTGACACGCTGGAGAGAATGAGAAACTGGAGTCAGGACAAGAGAAGAAAGAGGATATGCTGGAAACACGGTCCCAGAGACAATATAAGCCTGTGCATTTTCACTTTGAAAATACTTAGACTTGAGGGTCATCTTCATCACTGTCTGTGTAAGTGCCTCGTACATGCGTGGGATCCTTGCTTCAAGCCAAGTGATCCCTCATCCCTTGACCTGTCCACGTAAGTCTTGTCCAGAATCATTTTGTGCTCTCCTGTGAATCTTCACAGGCTTCCCAAATCCCACCTCTGCTGTGTACAGAACTGGACACAGTACTTAGCTAAGGGTTGGACCCTACTGGCCAGTGCCAGGGGGCACACTCGCTCTAGCAGAAGATCTTCCTGCCCCTCACCCCTCAAAGGAGCATGTTGTCCCATAGGAAGAGAAGAAAGTTCCCCCAATTAAGTAAGGGTTCAAAAGGATGAAATAGGATATTTTCTTTCTTACCTCTAAATAATTCTCCAATAATTCTTGATTCTCTAGACCAGGTAAAGGATTGATAGTGTGAGAGAGAGGTAGGACCTGTGACTGATTAATGTCAAAGTTCTTGTCATCACATGGTAAGTAATCGTCCCACCGTTCCAAAGAGTTACTAATTGGTTTTGCCTTCAGCACTAGCAACAGAGCAGTGCTGCTTTCATTCACCTGGAGGTAGAGTCCTTCCATACCAGTGCTGAAAGCTACAGCCAGTTAATGTGTTCTCTGAATTTTCTTAGTATTCCCAGATTCAATGTATAACTCAGACTCAAAGATACTGTGATTTGTTGTTCGCACACACCACAGAAACCTCTCTGTGTGAGAGCTGACTGGGGGCCCAGGCACGACCCCAGGTGCCCAGGGTCGGTCTGGGTGACTAAGAACAAGAATGGCTTTTGTTTTAAAGCAAATGAACGTCTTGGTTGCGATCAAAGCACGCGTTGTCCCCTCTGCTTATGCCATGCGAACAGGAAAGTCCGTGAAAGAGAAACAGCCAGACGCTGCCTTTCACGGGGTTGGGGGCAAACTTCCCTTGGATGGCACAGTATGAAGGAGCATTAATAACTAAGTACGGGTCTTACTAAGAAATTATCATCCGGGCATTAGGCCTCAGGAGTCCCCAGTGCTGACGCTCCAGCCACAGGACTCTGCTGGGTGTGTGTGCTGGGAAAACCTAGTGCCATTAAGCAGTTACTCTGAGTGCATGTAGCACGGACTGGTTGTGAGTGTTGGTAACAAAAGAACCCCACAGAGAGGAGGAATGAAATAGAGGATTTCAGTGCTGATGGAGATTAAGTAGCCTGAGAACGGCTTTTTGTATATTAACTTCGGGGAACTCGGGTCTTGCCACCTAAAGAGTGACACCTGATGCCTCAGCTGTAGGTAATAAATCTTTAGTAAACCTCAGATCTCAAGTAGGCTGCTTGCAAGGCGAGAGAAATCACATCAAGCCCATGAATGCCTTTCTATCCCGGGGGCACTGAAATGCCATCCCTGGGCGCTTACACGTATGTGAAGAGCAGATTTAACACTTGAGACAATTGGAGTTTCATGGAATGATGAGTCCTTGGCCTTGTTGACAAAGCGCCCTGCGAAGAGTACGACTGTAATCTGAGCTGTCAGCAGCAAAGGTGTAACATGATTAAGACCAAGTGGCAACCCAAGGTTTTGGGTCTGGTACCCTAGGGAAAAAAAGCAAACTCCTGATCGGTTTTTTTGGTGGGAAGGAGGAGAGACAGCTGGGACAGGCACATGTGGATGGCGGCCAAAAAAGAGTTCCTGGTCAGTTCTTTTTCTAGCAATTAAAAAGCTGAACAGATATTGAAAAGGAGGACATTAACAGCATCAATAAATATTTATAGTTCACAGCAAACGGGGTGGTGGGGGGTGTCTTTTTTTGACCTTCCAGAACAGTGATGAGAGCCATGAAAGGAGTCTGTGTTTCATGAACACACCTTTAAGAGGGTAAGATAGCACTTTTCTTCCAGCTCTACTACAAGCAAGGATGCTCTCAGGCTGTCTATTTGCAGAGCCTCCTTGCCCACATTTCCCTCAAGTGGCTCAATACACTGCATGAAAGGAAGGACCTTTCTTAACTGAAATCCAGAAAAGGAAGGTTTTCCATTTTGCGGCACCGCAGGTAAAAATTTAGTTTAGGGGAGCTAATCAAAACCTGGCCAGCCCTCCAGAAAGTTCAGATTCTAAAGAGAACATAC